CTTACAGGGAAAGCTTGGACTAACAAATGGTATAGACAATTTCTTTCTCCTAATGCTAGTGTTGATTTGGGGAAACTTTCACTCAAACAGATTGATTTAAAACAATCAAAGTGCATTTCATTTATGCACTAGTTCCAACTGACTCATATACTTGATTTCAAATACAAAAAATAATGTGTGAACTGTTGGAAGAATGAAATTAATTTTTCACTCACTTCTTGGTCTGTAGGAGGTTGGGACATGGTTTCAACACTTGGCGTCTGAAACAAAAGACAACAATATAATGTCAAACATTCTGTTCTATAAATCCTGACTAGTTCATAAACTACAGATCATACTTGTTTCAGTGAATATTATTCACAGAAGAATCTGAGTTCCTTATATCAGACTGTATAGAAACTATTAACACTGTACAGTTCTGCTACCCAACAATATGAGGACAGTGTAACACACACACTACAGTTGTTGGTCCAACCATATGAGGACCTATTCTGAAACACACATCTCCTTCACAGCTTGAAACCATATGAGGACATGACGACTGAACACATGTAGAGTTCATGTTCCTGACTTCTAGCTTCTCCTGCTGTTGTCAATAAAAGCTCTAAACCCAACACTGATGTAAAGCCATCTATTTCCCCAGAAATCCAATCATATTAACTGATCAGCTTCAGGTTAAATGGACTAAAACATGTGTAAAAGGACAAAAATATTAAATTTAGTCAGAATAAAGATCAAGCAAATGCTTACAGGGAAAGCTTGGACTAACAAATGGTATAGACAATTTCTTTCTCCTAATGCTAGTGTTGATTTGGGGAAACTTTCACTCAAACAGATTGATTTAAAACAATCAAAGTGCATTTCATTTATGCACTAGTTCCAACTGACTCATATACTTGATTTCAAATACAAAAAATAATGTGTGAACTGTTGGAAGAATGAAATGAATTTTTCACTCACTTCTTGGTCTGTAGGAGGTTGGGACATGGTCTCAACACTTGGCGTCTGAAACAAAAGACAACAATATAATGTCAAACATTCTGTTCTATAAATCCTGACTAGTTCATTAACTACAGATCATACTTGTTTCAGTGAATATTATTCACAGAAGAATCTGAGTTCCTTATATCAGACTGTATAGAAACTATTAACACTGTACAGTTCTGCTACCCAACAATATGAGGACAGTGTAACACACACACTACAGTTGTTGGTCCAACCATATGAGGACCTATTCTGAAACACACATCTCCTTCACAGCTTGAAACCATATGAGGACATGACGACTGAACACATGTAGAGTTCATGTTCCTGACTTCTAGCTTCTCCTGCTGTTGTCAATAAAAGCTCTAAACCCAACAATGACGTAAAGCCATCTATTTCCCCAGAAATCCAATCATATTAACTGATCAGCTTCAGGTTAATTGGACAAAAACATGTGTAAAAGGACAAAAATATTTAATTTAGTTAGAATAAAGATCAAGCAAATGCTTAAAGGGAAAGTTTGTACTAACAAATGGTATAGACAATTTCTTTCTCATAATGCTAATGTTGATTTGGGGAAACTTTCACTCAAACTGATTGTTTTAACACAATCAAAGTGCATTTCATTTATGCACTAGGCCCAACTGACTCATATACTTGATTTCAAATACAAAAAATAATGTGTGACCTGTTGGAAGAATGAAGGGAATTTTTCACTCACTTCTTGGTCTGTAGGAAGTTGGGACATGGTCTCAACACTTGGTGTCTGAAACAAAAGACAAGAATGTAAATCCTGACTAGTTCATTAGCTACAGATCATTCTTTTTTCAGTGAATATAATTCACAGAAGAATCTGAGTTCCTTATATCAGACTGTATAGAAACTATTAACACTGTACAGTTCTGCTACCCAAAAATATGAGGACAGTGTAACACACACTACAGTTGTTGGTCCAACCATATGAGGACGTATTCTGAAACACACACATCTCCTGCACAGCTTGAAACAATATGAGGACATGATGACTGAACACATGTAAAGTTCATGTTCCTGACTTCTAACATCTGCTGTTGTCACTAAAAGCTCTAAACCCAACAGTGATGTAAAGCCATCTATTTCCCCAGAAATCCAATCATATTAACTGATGAGCTTCAGGTTAAATGGACAAAAACATGTGTAAAAGGGCAAAAATATTAAATTTAGACAGACTAAAGATCAAGCAAATGCTTAAAGGGGAAGTTTGGACTAACAAATGGTATAGGCAATTTCTTTCTCTTAATGCTTTTGTTGATTTGGGGAAACTTTAACTCAAACTGATTGTTTTAATACAATCAAAGTGCATTTCATTCATGCACTAGGCCCAACTGACTGATATACTTGATTCCAAATACAAAAAATAATGTGTGACCTGTTGGAAGAATGAAGATCTATTGAGTTTTAAGTGATCTGAACGTTTCATGATGATAGCCCCAAGCACAATTTCACATTATTCTGGGTCCAGTCCACTGAAAAAATCTTCAATCAGGCTGAAAAATCACAGGAAAGTAGAATCTATTGAGTTATAAGTGATTCCAACGTTTCATGATGATAGCTCAGTCCTAATGGGGTCAAATGATGTCACAAAGGTCACCGGATCACTTCTGCCTTAAAGGCCTGCTTACAAAAACAGCTTTGGGGGCTTATAACTTGGCTTCTGAATGTCCTAGAGAGGTCAGCTTGGTTTTAAATTACTCCAATTAACAGCCCCTATTAGCTCTTATGGTTTTAAAATGGGACACAGAATTATGTTGCACCAAGCACAATTTCACATATTTCTGGTTGCATATCTGTGATACAAGCTCCAATCTGTCTGAAATTAACATATGTTGGACATGTGAGGTCAAGGAGCACACAGTATCAGTTGCAAGTCTGTAGGTTGAAGAGAACCCTGTTTTTCAGCTGAAATCCATCATTTTTTCTGACCTCTGACCCAGAACAGCACCAGAACAATGAGCTACGGCTACCAAACTGCCTGGGCTAGCTCAGGGTGATGGCGGCGTGCCAAATCGACGTTTGTTTGGTGAAAATCGGTTGAGAAATGCCACTTTGCGAGCACATGGCAAAAAAGGCGGGAAAAGTGCCATCCGGCCCCAAACGGACGCTTAACACGATGCGACCGACACAAATTTGAAATCTATGGTTCGGACCAGCACTGGGGTAAAACAAAAAAATTTTCGTGAGCCTCGGATCAACGATGGCCGAACGGCGGCCAAAAAGGGGCTCAAATCTTGGCCAGGCTTCATTTGGGGCCTAGGGTTTTGTCCGTTGCTTTTAATTAATTAAAAATAGTTAAATTCTACGTAGGGACATGAAATTCACATATGTTGTAAAGAAGGACATGCCGAATCATAATTTATAAGCTGCGTCACGCTACGTCGCTCACTGACCGAGTTCGGCCACTAGGGGGCGCAGTCAAAAAAAATTCACTCTCTGGTTCGGAAGTCCGGTACGAGAGCAAAAATCTACTCGCCTTTTTGATGGCCCTCACGGCGCTAGAATTTCGCCATTGCAAACTTGCAAAAATCGCGCGCTTTGGGGGGCTATATCTCCGGAACCACAAAATATTTTGCCACCAAACCACCTCGGGTGGACTAGTGCTTGGCCCCCGAACCACATATCCGAAGATGGTGCCGCTGGCACCAGCAGAACTTTTTTTTTCCACTTTGTAACAGCAAAACACAAGTCCTCTTTGAGGCGTTACGTCTCAGAGGACATTTTTTGGCCTAACTCGGAAGCAACTTTTTTTTCTTTTCAATTATGACAGCGGATTATGATTGCTTGGCACCACGGGGACCACCTCTCCAAAAACGGGACGGATCGGGCGTTCGCTTGAGGAGCTGTGGCCAAAAAAGAGCGTGACCTCTGGCGACCTAGGGTTCAGAAAAGCACCGGAACAACGAGCTACGGCTACCAAGCTGCCTGGGCTAGCTCGGGGTGACGGCGGCATGCCAAATCAATGTTTGTTTTTTTAAAATCGGTTGAGAAATGCCACTTTGCCGAGCACATGGCAAAAAAGGAGGGAAAACTGCCGTCCGGCCCCAAACGGACGCTTTACACGATGCGACCGGCACAAATTCAAAATCTGTGGTTCGGGCCAGTGGTGGGATGCACCATAAGAATTTTCGGGCGCCTCGGACCAACGTGGGCTGAACGGCGGACGAAAAAGGTCTCAAGTGGCAGAAGGCCGCAAACAAAGCCGGAGCTAAATTTTAACACTTTCGGGCCGCCGTTTGAATTCAGTCAGGCGTAGCCGCACGAAATTTTTTGTGGTGCATCCCGGCTACCATCTCATCGACGCACGTCGAAATTGCGGCCGTCGGACCTTTTCGAGGGCCCTTTCGGGACGCGTGTCCAAGTAGATATAGTCAGGTAGTGTCCGGTTACACCTTTGTGGGCTTATAACTTGGCTTCAGACTATCCTAGAGAGGTCAGGTTGATTTTAAAATACTCCAATTAATGGTCTATATCTGGAACAGAAGGAATGGAGTCATTACCACTTATGGGTTTTAAATGGCACCAAGAATTATGTCGCACAAAGCACAATTTCACATATTTCTGGGTCCAGTTCTCTGAAAAAAGCTTCAATCAGGCTGAAACATCACAGGAAGGTAGAATCTATTGAGTTATAAGTGATTCCAACGGTTCATGATGATAGCTCATTCCTAATGGGGTCAAATGATGTCACAAAGGTCATCGGATCACTTGTTCTTTAAAGGCGTGGTTCCTAACACACATTTGCGGGCTTATAACTTTTCTTCTGAATGTCCTAGAGAGCTCAGATCTGGTTTTTAAATGGCACCCAGAATTATGTCGCACAAAGCCCAATTTCACATATTTCTGGGTCCATTTGTGTGAAAACAAGGTCCAATCAGACTGAAACATCACGTGAAAGTATAATCTATGGAGTTGTAAGTGATCTGAACGTTTCATGATGATAGCACATTCCTAAGGGGGTCAAACCATGTCAGTCACCAGGCGTGGTGTCACTTGAAGGCCGGTTTCCAAAAACAGCTTTGGTGGCTCATAACTTTTCTTCCGATTTTTCACTCACTTCTTGGTCTGTAGGAGTTTGGGACATGGTCTCAACACTTGGTGTCTGCAACAAAAGACAACAATATAATGTCAGAAACATTCTGTCCTATGAATCCTGACTAGTTCATTAACTACAGATCATTCTTGTTTCAGTGAATATTATTCACAGAAGAATCTGAGTTCCTTATATCAGACTGTATAGAAACTATTAACACTGTACAGTTCTGCTACCCAACAATATGAGGACAGTGTAACACACACACTACAGTTGTTGGTCCAACCATATGAGGACGTATTCTGAAACACACACATCTCCTTCACAGCTTGAATCAATATGAGGACATGACGACTGAACACATGTAGTGTTCATGTTCCTGACTTCTAGCTTCTCCTGCTGTTGTCAATAAACGCTCTAAACCGAACACTGATGTAAAGCCATCTATTTCCCCAGAAATCCAATCATATTAACTGATCAGCTTCAGGTTAAATGGACAAAAATGTGTAAAAGGGCAACAATATTAAATTTAGTCAGAATAAAGATCAAGCAAATGCTTAAAGGGAAAGCTTGGACTAACAAATGGTATAGACAATTTCTTTCTCCTAATGCAAATGTTGATTTGGGGAAACTTTCACTCAAACTGATTGTTTTAAAACAATCAAAGTGCATTTCATTTATGCACTAGGCCCAACTGACTCATATACTTGATTTCAAATACAAAAAATAATGTGTGACCTGTTGGAAGAATGAAATGAATTTTTCACTCACTTCTTGGTCTGTAGGAGGTTGGGACATGGTCTCAACACTTGGCGTCTGAAACAAAAGACAACAATATAATGTCAAACATTCTGTACTATGAATCCTGACTAGTTAATTATCTACAGATCATACCAATTTCAGTGAATATTATTCACAGAAGAATCTGAGTTCCTTATATCAGACTGTATAGAAACTATTAACACTGTACAGTTCTGCTACCCAACAATATGAGGACAGTGTAACACACACACTACAGTTGTTGGTCCAACCATATGAGAACATATTCTGAAACACACAAATCTCCTTCACAGCTTGAAACAACATGAGGACATGATGACTGAACACATGTAGAGTTCATGTTCCTGACTTCTAGCTTCTCCTGCTGTTGTCAATAAAAGTTCTAAACCCAACACTGATGTAAAGCCATCTATTTCCCCAGAAATCCAATCATGTAAACTGATCAGCTTCAGGTTAAATGGACAAAAACATGTGTAAAAGGACAAAAATGTCAAATTTTGTTAATAAAAGCTCTAAACCCAGCACTGATCTACTCTGGTCTTCATAACTAGAATAACATCAATGTTTTCATCTACTTATATTTAACATTTCTTGTATTGCACAATCTGTAAAGAGGATTTGCTTACCAGAGCTCGCCATGGCCACATAGATTCTCCATAGTCATAGGTGATTTCACTCTCTGCTTGGATATTGTCAATAGCAAACAAGCAGAGATGAGGTTTATCCTGGACTGCCAGCTGTTTCATCTTGCAGTTTGGGTACTTGTGGTCATCATTAACCAGCCGGCCAAGTGAGTCGTCTTCACGGGAGGCATCAATGCTAAAAGTGAAGAAAAGAACATATGATTTGTTCACTAAAAACATAATGTTGTGAAGAACAACTGATATTGTATATGCCTTTACTTACCACCATGTGTTATTTTTCCATCTAAAATCAAATAGGAAAGCAGTTTGCTTTTCTGTGTACTTTTTCTGCCGCTTGTCCCGTTCATGTTCTGAGATAAGCTCCCCACGGTACTCGACTACAAAGGATCCCTTTTCAATTGGTTCAGAGGCAAATACACCATGTCCTAATACAAGATGTTCAATAAGTAGTGTTAATACAATCCAAATCAGGTTTACTGCAGCTGATCAGCCACTGACAAAACATGCAGAACAAACAATCATAAAATGTTTTAATTGTGAGGGGATTATCTAGATGCTTACGTTCATGGATGCAACAAATGAGTTGAAACAATAAATAAATACCAATAATAAAAAAAATTAAAATATTTTGCAATAAATTTCAAATACATGGAAATGTAAAACAGTTTTAATCTAGATAGATAACTTTATTGATCAATTTGGGAGGTTCCCTCAGGGAAACTGAAACAATTGTTATATATTACTAAATATTATAATAAACATTAGTTGCAGCTCCGGTAATATTCATGCAGCAGCCATAAGGAACAACATATAACATACCTTTATAGTCATTGATCCATTGGGCCTTTAAACAAGGCTTGTCACTTCCAGATAAAATAAAGTGAGCAGCCTCTGCTTCAGAAAGGTGTCAATGGGAAGAAGTCTTTCAACCAGATGTCATCAAAAACACTGCTCCTGCGTAAGTACCCATTTTAAAATGTTCACACATTTTTCTGGGTCAACAATATGTGCTCCACTACGACAGCTCTTGCCACCAGCCAGTTCATACCTTCGCTATTCACACACTGAGGTATTGTTTCCAGCGTTTCACTTTTTATAAACGCTACACAGCGTCAATATAAACTTGTAGAGCTACTTCTTAAGCTGGTCTAATAAAAGAAGAAATATTATTCAGAGCTTTAGTTGACAAATTATTTTCTGCTTACAGAAAGATATTAGTGGAGATTGTGTCCTGTTACAATAGTAAATTGTGGTGATGGATGATGATTAAAATTTAAATCTGCTTTTGTGATTGCAGATTCTATGAGAAAAAAAATCCCATCTCCCGCAGTTCCACTGACCACGACATATGTAAACATGCTATCCGCTGGTTTAACTTGACAGCAGATCGAGACTGCTCAAGGCGACGTAGTTGTATACAAGAAGTTCAACCCGCTGACCAGCATTCATCTTTATAACATAAATTACAGTCTGGTAACAGTTTTTTAATACTGTTTGCATTACTATTATTGTACTTTATACTTTGCTTGCACATGCAACAAACCATTTTTTATACAGTTTGTATTACTATTATACTTTATACTTGCACATGTAACACAGTTTTTATACAGTTTGTATTACTATTATACTTTATGTATTACTATTATACTTTATACTTGCACATGTAACAGTTTTTTATACAGTTTGTATTACTATTATACTTTATACTTGCACATGTAACACAGTTTTTTAATACAGTTTGTATTACTATTATATATATATATACTTCCTGTTAAAAGGGAGTTTTTCCTTCCCACTGTCGCCAAAGTGCTTGCTCATAGGTGGTCACATGATTGGGGTTTTCTCGGTACCTATTAAGCGCCTTGAGGTGACTTTGTTTGTTATTTGGCGCTATATAAATAAAATTGAATTGAAATTGAATTGTACTGCTGCATACTGTGATATTTACAGTTGCTTAGTTAATTAAATGACTTAATTACTCACTTTTATCTACTAATTGAATTACTAAATGAAGCTGGAATTGTGCATTCTGCAGTTTTAATAGTGTATTCGTTTTTAAAGAAACAATATGCATTTTATACTATATTGTAAAAAGTATAAGGTAAGTTGAATTTAAAATATAATTAATGAAGAGTTGACTTTTTTCATCAATTTATTTATTAACCTTTATTTAACCAGGAAGATCCCATTGAGGTTAAAAACCTCTTTTTCAAGGGAGACCTGGCCAAGATAGGCAGCAGCAGGTGTCTCACATTTACAGAGGTTACTCAAACACATGCAACAATAAGTGAAAGACTACAAATAAAATAAAATTCAATTAAAAAAATAAAAAGTCAGTTAAAATGACAGTCAATCTAATTGAAACAGTTTCATGTTATGGACTTGGCCTCAGTGATTCGTAGTTTAGATTTAAAAGCACTAAATGCAATGAATTCAGTCATCTTCCAGTCCTTCTGCAGTTTGTTCCAAGCCGAGGGTGCTAAATGGACAAAAGCTTTTTTACCAAGTTCAGTTCGGGCAAATAGAGCAGAAAGCAACAAGTAACCATGCGCACAAAGAGAATACCGACCAGCATGTTTCATTGCAAGCAGGGAACATATATAAGAAGGCAGCAACCCAAGTATTGCCTTATATATAAAACTGTATAAATGAGAGTTCCTCCGACTTAACAAAGCAGGTCATCCTACCTGAGAGTATAACTCACAATGGCGAGTCTGAAATTTATGGTTAGTGATGAACCTCAGAGAAGCATGATACACAGAATCAACCATTCAAAGACATTGAGCAGAAGCATTCATATATAGAATATCACCATAATCCAGCACAGGCAAGAATGTTGCAGCATCAAGCAGCTTCTTTGTATTAAAAGAGAAACACAACTTATTTTGAAAGTAAAATCTCAGTTTTAACTTCAGGTTTTTCCACAAGATTCTCTACATGTGGTTTGAAGGTGAGCAAGTCGAAGGTGAGCAAGTCATCAATTAAGATTCCCAGATATTTATATATGTGAACCATCTCTTGTTTTATTACCTTCAAGAGTGGTTACTGATGGGATTATTTGGGCCAAATTCCTTGATTTAGAAAACAGCATGAGCTTTGTTTTGTCTGCGTTGAGAACAAGTTTAAGCAGAAGTAATGAGTGCTGGACAGCAAAAAAGGCTTTCTGCAAGGAGTCAATGGCTTGGACAAGAGTTGAACCACAGCTGTAAATAACAGTATCATCAGCATAGAAGTGCAAGTTTGCATCTGGCACATTTAGACTAAGATTGTTTACGTAAATGATAAATAGAAGTGGTTGATAATATCCACCTTGGGTAACAAGCTGCGCACATTAAGATGAACTATTTTCAGCTCAATTTAGGATTTAAATTCAGATGGTGTCTGACTACATTGCAGCTCAGGGCCTGGGTTAGGTTGTACATTACCAGATTAGAGCAGTAGTAAGACGATCAGAAGTCTATGAATTGTAACATTACTTATTGATTTTGACTTGTGAAATGTTGAAACAAAGCAGGATTTTTCATAATTAATTTTGTAATTTTACAAAGCAAGAAGGTTTTGAAGATGAGGTAAATCTTTCTGTAGTTCAAATGATAAATTAATGTCCTGTTCCAAATACATTGGAAATTGTACAGGATGTATAGCAGCAGTGACGCATGTAGATCTGCCATGTCTCGCAGAGTGGGGACACTGTTTAATGTTCTCATCTTAGAGAATTTGAGTGTCCAAAGGCCCCCCACAGCCAATAAGCAAAGTAAAGTTATTTAAAAAAGCCATTATCCAAAACACACAATGATTGTTGATGCTGAATTAAATAGGCTGCACAAACCTAGGATGGCAAGTAAGGCTCCAGCCAGAAGATCGGGTTCTGGTGGCTTGCTAGCAGTGGGCTTCTGCTAGCACATTTACCAATGTGGTGTAGACGGCTTCAATCAACAGCACAGTACCCGATGTATTGCAGATGAGCTTTTCTAGAAACATAGGCCTTGGTGTGGTGCTGATGTCTTCCACTAGCAACACAGATGCAGTTGGTTTAGCCGGCAGCAAAGGCCCTGGTGTGATGCAGACTGCCCCAGCCAGCAACACAGGCCCTGGTGTGGTGCCTATGGATCCAGCCAGCAGTACAGGCCCTGATGTGATGCCTATGGGTCCAGCCAGCAGCACAGGCCCTGGTGTGGTGCCTATGGGTCCAGCCGGCAGTACAGGCCCTTATGTGATGCCTATGGGTCCAGCCAGCAGTGCAGGCCCTGGTGAGGCTCAGTTGGTTTATGCTAGCAACACAGGCCCTGGTCTGGTGCAGACAACTTCTGGTAGTAGCAGAGGTCCCCAAAAAACCATTTCCCAATGAATTTACAGAATACTTTAGAATACTCTCTGGGAATTCAAAGAGTCGAGACTGAGCTTGATGATCATACTGAATCACATGACAGCGGCAGGAATCTCTAAGTTCAACTGTAGATTGCAGATGCAATTATATTAATGCAGATTAATATAAACTCTTCAAGGGTCAAAATCTGCACACACATCATTCTGCATAGTGAAGATCAGACAATTTGTGCATTGATCTTGAGAAGTAAGACTCATTAAATAATAGTAATATAATTAGACAAATATTGAAACTTTATATTTTGAGACATTTTGTCAACAACAACAAAAAAAAAAAACCAAGATGTGCAGGCACTGATAACTGAATCTAAAGTGAATCTAAACTGAATCTTCATTTTTGTCAAGATTTGCTTGATTTAATTGTTGTTACCCTTGCTTAAGCCCCAAGAAGGGTATAACCTGGGTCAAATGTGTTATTGTGTCTGACACACCTACAAAATGAGGACTCGCAGAGTGACGTCACTGAAAGTGTGTTTAAAGTGTGTTTTGTTCCAAAACTGGCCAGTAGGCGGCGAAACTGAAAGTGAGCAAAAACGCTAAACACACTTAAACACACTTTTTCAAAAAATTGTGATATTTCAGGACATTCGAGATTTTTGGTTTGGGAGCATGTTGGGGGCCTCTAGAACACTTTAGAAGGCTCAGAAAAATGAGGACCTCAAAAATGTCCTCATTTTTCCGAGCGTCCTCATTTTGTGAGTGTGTTATCATAAAATTGTCCTCAGATGTCATGAAAACAAGTGCACACACACACACACACACACACACACACACACACACACACACACACACACACACACACACACACACACACACACACACACACACACACACACACACACACACACACACACACACACACACACCTGTTCTTTTCTTATCTCATGTTACAAATAAACTTTAAGGGCAGGAACTCTTGGCAGTTTTCTTAAGCTTCTGCCCCTGACTGGACTTTGGTGACTTGTCTGGTTTATTTGTCTAGCTTTTCTCTTGGCTGCAGGTATTGGGTTATTGATAGAATCCCTAACATTTACCATAAGTCAGTTTATCTTTGACTGGCTGCACAGACCATCCATCTTTTTTAAAGCGTGGATAGCACACTGCATATCTGTCCACACCAGCCTTGGTTCTGGTGATGTCTCTGTTGCCATGTCTCTGTTGCCATTGCTGTTATAATGAAGAGCAGCCAGACTTCTTGGCAATAGTGAGCTCTGCTTGTTCTCCACAAATGCAGGTGCGGAACAGCTCCATCAGCTCGCTGTGGATTTGTTTAGCTGTGGATTTCGGCTGAGAATGAAAACAGATCATTAACATACTACACATTTAATTTGTGTTCTATTTTTAACACTAAACAAGCAGTAACTAAAACGCCTGGTTCATCATCTGAAGATCCATCATCTGATAAGGAGTCATCAATAGACGTGGGTTCAGATTCATCAAATGGATCGTAGCTCTCATCCTGGTCATCTAGGGGCTCAGGTGACGATACTGGCGATGATAAAGGTGTTGAGTGCCACAGCACATCACTCTCCTCATACTGGGTCCCCATGTCCCTGGTGGATGGATGTAGGTCAACCTGTGTTGCTGAGAATAGACATTTTTAATGTAATGATTTTGTGTTACATTAGCCATCATAACGTAGTTTGTGAATCAATAAACAGTTTTATGGAAATCTTGGAAATTTGAGTTTAAATTGTGAAGACATTTTGTGCTCTGCATGTTATAGTTTACCTGTAGAACCATAAGGAAGGAGCTGTCTGAATCCACGCTGTGTTGCACGGTTCCTGACCAGACATGCAGTCATCCATCATGTCACATTGTGTCACTGGAGATGCAGCTGCTTCAGGAGTTTGTTCTGTTGTTTCCACTTGTGGCAGATCTGCTATCATCTGCAAAGCAAACATACAAATATGTACTTGAATTTAAAGATCAAGAACATTTATGGTGAAAATTATTAAAATGCATTACAGAACTACTCATCATAAAAGATGAACGTAGAGACATAAAAATGTTGTTTAATGCATACAAGATCACAAATGCTTGTGTGACCGGCCTGTCTTGAC